TCGATGCCATCGACCCACGGATCGGTCTGATCACCAAAAAATAGAATAGTCTTCTGTGAGTCTGCCATCTTGGGCATCAATAATGGAAAGAAATTACTGGCGCTCCTGAAGTCATATGAGAGAAGCGTTTTTGATTTGCAGCGCCAAAATAATCGCTTTGATGGGTGAAGTAGCTAGGACGACACAACCGGCCTTTTGCAACATCCGAGATAAGGAGCTACGATGATATTCATGTGTATCTGTAGTTTCTCTCAATTGCCGGAGACCTTGAGTTGTAGTTCAAGACAGCGATCTCATTATCGCCGACAGACTCACTTATCTGTCAACATCTAGTGACCCTGATACGTAAGAGTGTCCACGAGAGGTAGAGCCTGTACGGATACCGATGTCCCAATTAGGAAAGTGACCTGGAACTAGTAGGGAGTGTCGTTCTGTTGTCTTCATGAAACCTCCGATTGGACCAAGGTTTCTGAGAATCATGGTTCAGGTTGAGACAGCCAGCCGGCGGCGATTCCCGAACGCCCGTATGTGGCTCAAGAGGTGGCCAAGGCCTGGCTCCGGACTCCTCCGCCGGGCACCAGCCAGGTTGGTGCTCGTACAGAGAAAGTGGTGACGCGGCGAAACTAGAATATCGATGCAAAACATGGCAAATATGATCTGCATCGGCCATAAGCCAAGTCAATGTTCCAGAATCCGAAGCGAGAGGCTGAATGGCGCCCGAGCCTGCGGAACGCCTCAGCTTATGGGACGCCAAGACCTCCCGTCATCCGTACTTGGATCTTGATCCTCAGTCAAGCATTAGGTTTCCAATGAGAGTGAGGCATATGCGGGATCACCAATGATTATTTGCTAGTGAAATGAAGACGAGTCATTCACCTACGAACATGCTACGTCCCCAAGCACGCAACTATGATATGCGGCCAGCTAACCTAAAATGCCGGCTCATTATGCTTGTGGTTCGCTTTGGTGAGGCATCTCACGACTCGAATTACGTGCCGGAGACAGCTGATATGTTGCCGGAGGAGAAGTCCGTGAGATCGGAGACATATGTTTGTCCTGCTATGAATCAGAAATGCCTCTCTACGGTACCCTATCAGATCTCAGCTTTCAGTCTCTGAGACAAGCCGTGGGCAGGTCATACCTAGGCTCCCATCATTCGGCTTCTGTTCGTCCTTAACCCTTGGCCACCAAGTTACGGTGCACCGACATCTTGGTTCAATATGCCGGTTGAGTTGGCTGGAAAGACGCCGGAGTCGATCGACACAACACTCTGGAGACGCGGTGCCAAGTTTCAGATCCGAAAAGCTCTCCCGCATGGCGTGCGGATTCAGTTGCTGATACGGTACCAGAGCGATTGAAGATGAGAACGCATGGCAAGAGAGCGAAAGCCTCCGTCAAGCATGAAGGACAACGAATTTAGCCAGTTGAAATATATCCAACGTGTCCAAATGCAGCTTGATGTTATCTTGCGAAAGGGCCCTATGCCATTTGTTCGTTTTGTTCGTGCTCACCTACCTCACCTCAACTGACTAAAATTGGCAATCCGCGGTTATCATCTTCAATCAATAAGTTTTACAGGGGCAAAGAACTTGCGACGTGTTGCATGCACGACCTTTTGTCTCTTGACCCTTATTCACAATGTCTTTCTTCTCATGCATTGCTGAACTTGAAGGGGTCAGCCGCTGGGCGGTCTTGATATCCGGTCTGGTAAGATACCGCAAGCACTCCAGGTCTATACTTGGCTGACAGAACTAGTTTGCGGCGTACTTGTCCTGTTTAGCGGTCTACAGGGCTTTCTTTCATCCGCTCAATAAATATCCAGGTCCAATTCTGAACCGCTTGACAAACCTTCCGTTTGTGATTGCAGGAGTGAAAGGGCAGCTGCCATTCTATGCAGAATCCTTGTTCAAGAAGTACGGCCCAGTCGTCAGAATGGGGCCCAATAACCTTGGATTCATCGAAGGAAACGCCTGGAAGGACATCTACGGCATGCGTCGTCGCGGCCAATTTGAGAAAGCATACGAGTACTACCGTGAAGGACCGGAAGGACCCATTAGCTTGCTCAACGCTGGGCCCGAGGAACACGCGAGACTACGCAAGTGGGTTTCACCGTATTTTTCGGATCGTGGCATGAAGGAGCAAGAACCGATGATTGGCGGTTACGTTGACTTGCTTCTCAAGCGACTTCATGAGAACTGCGATGATGGTACCCGCGCGCTTGATCTCCGTGACTGGTGTGAGTGCTGGGATTACATCTGCCGAAGTTCCGTCTGATGCTAACATTAGGCTGTCAGTTAACTTCTGCACCTTCGACATCCTTGGCGAACTTGCTTTCTCCAGCTCTTTTGGATGCCTCGAGTCAGCAGAATATCATCCTTGGGTAAAGATCATTGCATTTCAGCAGAAAGAGATTGAGTGGATCGGTGAGCTGAACCGGCAGGGATTGAGGTTTATCACAGCTATTATCATGAAGATACTCGCCAAGAACAAGTTGGAATTTATGGGTTACACGATTCAGAAGTTACAAAGTCGCATTCAGTCGGGTAAACAAGCAGATATCATTGAGTCCCTGCTCAATAACAAAGAAGGAATGGTACGTTCGATCCTTTTCTCGCCGCTGATTTTGCTCAGTGTTGGACGTGCGATCATATTGTCTCAGATACCAGAGCAGAGCGGGACTAATCAGAGAGAGCAGAAGCTTGACATGGATCGCCTTGTCCAGAATTCGACGCTTCTCATCGCGGCTGGGTCAGAGACCACAGCGACGCTGCTCACGGCAACTTCGTTCCTTCTGCTATCGAATCCTGAGGCATATCAGAAAGTTGTAGAAGAGGTCAGATCTTCCTTTTCTGATCCGTCAGACATTACTCTTCTATCCGTCAACAAACTCCCTTACATGTTGGCCTGCCTGGACGAGGCGCTGCGCGTGTTCCCGGTAGTTCCTTCTTGGTTGCCCCGACGAGTCACGCATGGTACCGCTATCATTGATGGCAATATCGTACCCGAAGGTGTAAGTGACCCCTCTACTGAGTAATGCCCTGCTTCATTCCCAGCAAAGTGCTGACTCTTTTCATTCTGACACAGTGTCTTGTCGCTACTTGGCAGTGGGCGATGTATCATAACGAACTGAACTTTACTAAACCCCTAGAATATCATCCCGAGCGTTTCCTCGGAGATCCGAGCTTCTCGAAGGATAGGCTGGACGCATTCCAACCTTTCAGCATGGGCCACGCAGACTGTGTCGGTCGCAACCTTGCATACTCTGAGATGCGTCTTATCCTAGCAAGGATTTTGTTCAGCTTCGATCTGAAGCTAGCGGACGAGGGCAGTGACTGGATACAGGGTCAAAAAGTTTATATCGTGTGGCAAAAGCCGTCTTTAAATGTGTATCTCAAGCCAGTCAAGCGATGAGGCAAACCTTCATCCAGCCTTGAAGCTTGTGGCTAAACAAAGCCGTGCACGTAGTGGAGGCTTTCCACACATTATGTATGTACTTCGCAGGCATATTGCAACCAAACACGGAAGGTGGGCAGCATGCACATAAGCCTGGCGGAACCATGCATACCCATCAGAGCATCTTGTCTCCTCATAATTTGTGCAAATACAATGCATCAGTCCGAGGTCCTAGGCTTGAAACGACCCTTCGTATAACTTTGACTGCGGGGAAGACCCTGACATTGTTGGAGTACCTTCCACTGAGACTTGTCCTAAGGCTGAAGCAGGCCTTGTTCTGGCTATTGCTCAATGCTGCCGGTGGCAGACATTCTGCCAAGAAACTTTTGACCGTAGGAGACTTTACTTCTGCGACGCGGCTGGTGCATTATGTGAACTGCGTTGAGGCGAAGCGCGGAAGAGGGCCCTGCAGTGGGATGCCGCTGAAGGCTTGTGTTTGTCGAATATTATCCGCCGTCTTGTTTGTTCGCAAGAGCCCTCTATCCGAAGTTGATACTTTGCTAGATCATGTTAATTAGGTTCTAATACCTCGCAACTGTATTCGGGATTGCTTTTTAGCCACCTAACCTGTAAAGTATGCGATCAACCATCAAATTTCTACATTGCCCAGGATCTCATTGTCCTCACTATTCGCACCATGAAATTATATTCGTTGCTCTGAGATATGTTATAGAGACCAGGTCTAGCTACATCGCTTAATCCTGTCGCGTAGCAGCTTCTACGCATCTATAAATCTGACTCGTCTCAAATTTTGTCATGTCAACTGAAAGTGGCCGGGCCAGAAACAATGACAGGCCCTGCCGTCAAAACTCCCCGGGATGCCAAGATTAAATCTCCGCATGTTCTAACTGCCCTATCGGCCAGTGGGGCATTGACGCGCCGCTCATGCTTTATTGGGCCATGCCAACAGACTTCAGAGGTTGAAACTATATTGACACACTACTAAGATGCCATTTTACCGACGAGACAGGTTCACGCTAATTTTCTGCTGTTTCTAGAATATTGCCGGCCCTCCATCCCTGACCGGTAGCCAGTCGTCGGTTCATCGGCGGATTGGCTTTGTCTAAAGCGATGTCTTGTTACCCAAAAAGACTAACACAAGCCGTCGCAATCTCGATTCGAATTCCATCGATCTTAGCCGCACTCTCAACTTCGACTCGTTGAACAATGGCAACCGCAACTCAGTCTCTGCCTATTGAAGACTTTCCGTTTGACTTTGATATGCCTCGGACGACTTGTCATGAAGGCGACTCTAGGGAAGTGAAGAACTCAACAACCGCAACTAAGCGGCGCCGCGGCCCGCTTACCCGCAACGCCTGCAAACACTGTCGGATTAAAAAGGTGCGCGGAGTTCGGCTTTTCTTTCTGAATATATCGATCACAAAAAGTATGACAGATAACTAACGTTGCTTGTAAACTTGTAGCTGAAATGCAGCGGCGAGAAACAAGGATGCGGTCGGTGCAGAGCCAACGGCTTCGACTGCCATTATGAAACCTCGAATCCCAATTCAAAGAGGCGCTTGACGATTGCCGATTTTACACCTTCTATGTCCCCTTGGGAAAGGGAAGATAACTCGACCGCCGACAATGCCATAATCACGGAGGAAGACCAAGATCTAAATGACCCGGAAAACATTGATCACTTGGTCTTCCAGCCAAGATCCTTCTCTCCCTTTCAAGCCGAGACATTAGATGGCATGCTATCAACGAATGCCCTCGATAGCTTTATGAAAGCTAGTGGTGAGCTAATTTTCTATTTCGCTTGCCGTCAGTCGGCCAGCATTGAAGCCGTTCGAACATTAACGTTGCTGTCGTACAGGGAATCAGCCTTTCATGAAGGCAACACTCAACAGCCCATCGAACTCACCTCGAATAGACCCGCTACTTTCCTGTCTCAATGCCTCAGACTGGCCCAGAGTGATTTCTTTAGGCTCAGATACAGAGAGGTCTATAGCCCATGTCGAAAGGCGGAGGAAGCACATACGGGAGTCTTCAAGTCATAATCAGGAGTGGCCTCGAAATAGCCAGCGTTCTCGACACAATCCATCGAAGCAACACCCGGAACAAGATAGTCTCTCATGTTCATGCTACGCGCGAGTCTTTCTGCAGCATGAGGACGTTAGTTCTAACCTTCTCTGGAGTATACGAAGCAAAGCTCCTGCGTCACCCGCAGAAATGCTGCGGTCCTTGAAGCGAACTATGGAGGGCCTCGACTCCTTCTTCGACTGCCACACACATTCCACACGTCCGGAGTTTGTCGCCTTGCTCGTATCAATGTGCGATATGATGCTTGGTGGTGTCGAGTATTTGGTCCCTAAGCTTTGCGTAGACGATGACATCATTTCTGCAGATGATGACTCGGATACATCCAGTTCCCATGGTGACTCGGGGAGACGCTCTAGCAGCAGGAGCGGCAGCGTCAATTTTACGTCGCACCCAGCATTCAGATTGAGCCAAGGGACATTAGACAAAGAGGATGAGCTTCATGTGCTTCATAGTTTAGTACGAGTTCGGACGAAACGACTAGGCCTCCTGATTGACAGACTGTATCACGCGGTGGATGATAACGGAAGACCTATACATAGACATACTGTCTGCAGTTTGCAGGACCGACTTAGATTTGTGTCATCAACATTAAAGAGAAGCCAGATATAGATAGCTGGGTACCGGCGGATCAAATGGATGGGAATTCGGACTCACATAGTTAAAGTTTTGACCCACCAAACGCATTCTAAGCACATGTGTATTTGTGATCAAGTCTTCTTGGTTTGAAATGTCACAAAATCATGACTCGGGTCATGCAGAATTCTATTATGTCGAAGTCTCCTTGTCCTCGCAAGCGTGTCAAAGGTGAGGAATCATCTGGATCCAAGACGGCATCGAGTAGACACCGATAGGGACCTGCCTAAGACTGATGAAAGCCTCAACAACGATGAAAACTCGGGCAACAAAGTGAACTCCAGCAAGAAACGAAACTGTAAACCCCAGAATGCATATCCTCGCCATGCAAGAGCCTACTGACAAGGGTGATTTCTGAACTTCTTCCGTCCGTAAGTCATGGTCGATATAGCCCGCAATGGTCTTCCAACATATGCAAAGAACAAGAAAAAAAGCCCGATCCAAGGTATAAACACGATGATGATGAGACAGGATACCTTCCACATAATCCCTTCCTGTCGCGAGGCAAAGTCATAGTTCCATGCCGAAAGATGGATACCTCCGTAGATTATAGAGAAAGCACCGATTCTTAGCAAATTGTACCCAGTGATCTCCTCGCCGATAGCGGAGAGAAGGAAGCGAAAAACCTCTGTGGTTGACCCCAGTCCTTCATCGGGGTCACCCTCTGCGGGATGGCTGAAACTATCTTGGAATGTCGAAAGAGTCTCGCGCATGTTGCCCCTTAACACAAAACATTGACTGTAAGTCTTGTCCCAGAATGGGTCAACATCAGGAGCTGCCAAGGAATTCTGTCGTTTTGATTCCAGGTGTAAGGGGCTATTTCAGTCCTCGTTATGTCTGAAGCATTGAGAAGAATGCTTCTCTCCTCTGAGAGTCAACTCTTTTCACGCCCGAAGACAAGACCTGCTTGGAGGTAGCCTACTCCACAGGGCAGAGCCTGGCCTTCACTAACGCGAACGCCATCCGTTGTCGGAGTGATCCATTGAACAGGTAGCTGTTCATCCTGGTGGTTGGTGGCGATGTTACATCGACTACTTCGAGGGTCTTGTTTCCCAAAGCTCCTCTTAGCCACTATGCTCGGAACTATGGCCCGGTCATCTCGTCGGTCAGGATAGAAATTGCAGTCTCGTTTTGCAAGTGGCAGAACTGGCACTGAATCATGAAAGAAAGGGCATTCTTGACGTTCTCGCTTTCCACTGTGATAGATTGCGTCTACTCGATACCTAAGGGCTTCTATTAGCTCCAGATTAGTAATCTACATGACTTTGTAAATCTCTTTGAGATCTGAAAGCAAGGCGGCAATAAGCACTTACGTAAAACCAGAATCCATAGAGTAACAGAGCGAAAATCACGTGTACCATAACATGAATTCCGAGCAACGCTATCGGCAAACCTAAGTCTCTTCTTTACAATGCACTGTATCGCCATCCATATTACTTAGGTTGACACTAGGAACTTCTGTAAAAGGGTGGCTTTACTTCGATCTTCCAGACTAGCTATATCAACTTCGATGAAGTCACCAAGTTTTGCCAGTTCAAGGATGCCTCTTGCTGATAGCGTCGAATTCTGTGGCCAATCATAGTCATTGTCTCGTACAACTCCAGTTGCTGGCTCTATGTCGGCAATTAGAGCTTCGAAGCCTTCCATTACCGCGAAGAAGCAGGCCTTCAGGTGGTATGGCTTCTGAGAACAGGCGCCAAACTATTTATTAGCTTGAATCTCTTATCTTCTTCCGAGTTCGGTTGAGGATTGCGGTGCTCACTTTGGGAGTGCTGCTGTTGTTACGGACATTCTCTGACAGCAAGAGGTTGAGTTTCCGTTTAAGCAAGAATTCTTCGATGAATTGCCTGGAGGCAAGCAAGAGGATGAATTCTGGTGCGAATAAGGTTATAGCAACCCATTGCAGTTTGTTCCATGTCGAAGAGTGCTTGATATTCAAATGAAGCACCGTAAGAACGCAAATGGTCAGGGTGATAAAACAACCCCACAGAATGTCGGTGGTCCCTCGAACAGATGGGTCAGGCACGAGCGTGTATGGTGTTCAACGCTTTTTGGTCATTCTCATTCGCCTCGATTTGGCTCTGGATTTCGGCACTGGTCTGCGTCTGTAAGCACCGCGCGAAGCCAATAACGACCAGAAGTACAACCAAGTGAGACCTCAAAGCAGCCATGGCAAGAGGAAAAGTGGAGAATCAATGATGCCCGGAAATTCGTTGATGCTCGCTTTTCGACTGGGTTGCAGCCTTTTTAAAACCATTCTCGTCTTCCTGTCGCAGCCTGATCACCCTGGCTACGTTGCAAGCGTGAGCGGATGATGCGTGCTGCGGCATGTCTCCTTCACTGCAAGGCTCTGAGTGGAGGTTTCTTTTCATATCCGTACAGCCAATCTAATTGCTTATCTTACCGAGCTGCCTTTCATGTTGATCGAAATTGAGTCGGCGGCTGATCACTCCTGACAACTTGCAGGAGCCAGGAATCCAATCGGCCAGTTGTTGTTTCCGAATCAAGCCACCGTGCTCGGGGAGGTGGGGGCCCGAACCTCGAGTTGTCATTGGCGCGTCTTGGATGCGTTGTTATAACTGCCATAAATATACATAATTGTCGTTTGTGCATTCGAAAACCTTTGAACAATTGCTGTGCCTATAATATTACCTTCTGTGCAAGAGAAGCCAAAGTCGACTTACATGAAAATATTCACCGAGTCATGTTGCGATATTATGCAGATAATGCGACGATAGGATGGCCATCTTCGAACGAGATCAACTTGAAGATTGAACTAGTGAAAATATATTACAGATGTTTGAAAAGGCCAACTTCGAAAAACCGTGTGTACATGTTTCTACCTTAGTAGAATGCCCATGTAATAGACTTGGCACTGGCCTCAACTTGGTGGTCTCGTTCACTCTTTGAAGCTGGCGTCTAGGGATTTTCTCGGTGACAGGGACATTGCGCATGGTTGCTCCACATTCGTCTTCAAGACGTTGAGCGTCAGTCGATTAGAATTCGTCTCCCACTGGCGGTACGTCTTTAAGCTTGCGTGTACAGAGCAAAGCAGAGACCGGGGAAACCTGCCCATAATTGACCACCAGGCGAGGTCGTCTCTAAGCTCTACATCATTCAATGAAGAATACCTCACAAGCTGTTGCATGCATTTCGAGCTGAGTGGACGGAAAGCTTCCCGTTCAGCCTTGGGTGAAGGAAGAATTTTCTTGTTTCCCCCCATGGATCCTTGGCGAACTTACCCCTCTGTGCTCACTGCTCAATCCATGCCGGGAAATCTTTCGCGTCCAAAATTGTGGCCCCGGCCGTTGAAACTTTACTGCCCAGCACAGAGATGGATCCTTCGAACTCGATCTGCTGAGTACTGTAGTGAGACCACCAACTTTTGCTATTTGATCTTACTCCAACATCGCTCAGCCGTTCTGAATTGACCAAGATGCGAATGTAGGAACATAGGACATGTAGCATCTTAACCAATCAAGACTCTTTTGCGGTTCCCTGCAGCCTCCGTAACAAAGTTTTGGTACGCGAAGTCATCAGCTATCAAATCTTCATGGTCAATGCACTATGGGTCCAGAAGTTCCCCGCGGGAGTACCGGCAGGCGCATTGGCGAAAGGCCCAATGACGAGCCGGGTAAACAAATAGGCTTCGGCAATAATTAGCAGTGCAATTAGCTTGACTCATACGAAAAGTAACACCATATAAAGCGTCAGCGACGCCGGTAGCGGGGTTGAAGGGGAAGATAGGCCTCGATACGTCTACCAGATTCCGGATTGTTCCCATTCGTGATCTATCGTACTCCTCAAGATGCATCGTCACCTTACGATCTGGCTATTGGCCCTTTGCGGCTTGGCGACTGTCGCAACTTGCGAAGACCGACGATACTCGACCTGGATGCTGGACAGCATCAAGGCGCGCAAGCAGGGCATCATCTCGTCTGGTGAATCAAGCAGTTTCCTGGAAACGGGCATTCTATCCATCGCCATGGAGGCTGCACTGAAGCAATACCCGGAGCTTAAGGACCAATATGTCCCTTACTTGGAGGAAGTTCTAAACGAGGGCACTCCCAATTTGGTCAACGCAACTTACGTCGCAACCCGACCTCTGGACCGCTTCTCGGTTGCAAACGCCATCAACGCTATTTCCAAGTCGGGAATCGCGACGATTTCGGACACGGCATCAGCAGCATCGAAAGCCATCAACGAATCTCTGTCGCTTCAAATCCGCAATCCTGTTGGAGGCTTCTGGTACTACGTCTACCCTCAATGGAGTTACCTGGATGGCATGTTCTCTGTACTTCCATTCATGGCTGCGCAACCCCAGCCTAATTACACCGACATCAGCTTGCAGGTTTCGCTGCTCTACGAGCACTGCTTCCAGAAGAACACCTCCTTGGTCGCCCACGGGTACGATTACTCAAAGACTTCCGTCTGGGCAAACAAAGAGACGGGCGCGAGCCCGTATGTATGGGGCCGCGCCGTAGGCTGGTTCGTAGCAGGTTTGGTTCAGACGTGGGAAGCTCTCGATTGTCCCGCTGGCAAGCACGAGGCCAAGGCTGTGTGCAAGCAACTGCAACACATGACGACGCAATTGGCTACGTCTCTCATCCGCTACGCCGACCCCGAGACCGGCGTCTGGTGGCAATTGACAACGTTCCCGGGACGCAGCGGCAACTATCTGGAGAGCTCTAGCACGGCCTTATTTATGTTCTCTATGCTCAAGGGCGAGAGGCTTGGACTTCTGTCGAACTCAAAGGTAGACTTCAAGAAGGCAGCTTTGAAAGCTTACGACTATACCACCCGAAACTTTGTTGTCGATACTGGTAACGGTACGATCGGGTACAACAAGACAGTCGCTGTGTGCAGTCTCAACTCTACGGCGTCATACGAATACTATACTCACCAACCGCTTTTGCCGAACAGTCTTCTCGGAGAGTCAGCTTTTATCTTGGCCTCTCTTGAGGTGGAAAGGAAGTAGTGAATGAAGGCCCTAGTTATTGCAGCACTGCTAGATAATATGATCATTTTCTGCACCTTTTAATCTCTTAAGGAAGTCATTCTGCAGGATCATCGAGCATGCATGATTTCCAATCTCTTTAGACTAGATTCGAATTTTTTCGGAGCCTACTCGTTGGTTTCACGACAGATTAGCCGATATGTTCACATTGTAACCAGATCCCTAGACATGTAGAATTCCGGCGACCTGCAGATTAAGACATGGGATAACAATCCATCTGCTTGGCTTACGGAGACCGTTTTGAGGATAGTGCTTAGCGTACATGCAAGTATCGACTCAAGCTATCCTACGTCAGCATGGGCAAACACACTCTGATTGATAGTAGTGTAGCCTGATAGTCAGAATTCAACAGCGGTACGCGAAAAGTCAAGTACATGTAGCTACAAAGCTCCCGCAATCGTCTTGCCCACGCTGCAACGCTCATGTACCTATATGTCCGAAATCCGACATGCCTCGTCGAGTCGCTGGTGAGACTGATGACTTGAACCGACGAGGTTGTCTCCAGCCACTCGTATTCTCGAGATTATGGCAACCTCCGCACCTAACTCGGTAGTCGTAGGAAGGGAATCAATTTCAACACGCCTGACTCCGACGTGTTCAGCAAAAGGCCATGGCTCTTATCTTCAATACTACATTTTCCACGTTGATCTCTTTCATTGCTGGCACCAAGAAGTACAGGCCCCGCGCATAAGTTGCGCAAATTAAGCGATCACACTAAGGTAAGATCGAGATACTTGGTAGGATTCCCGAACCCCCGGGTTTCGGCTCATCCATTGTACCTGCCCTGTACAGATGGATTGAAGTTCATCCGCATCTATGGGAATCAGACGCATACAAATAGTCCAGCCACCTTTCTCGATAATCACATTTCTGAAGGCCTCATCAAGCCATTACTGCTACCTTCTGCCGATTAATTTTGCACTTTAAAAGCCTCTCAATGACAATTTCCAGGATAGCCTGCCTATGGCTTCTCGCGGTCGTTCTAGTCTATGTGAACGCCCTGCGAGTGGAAAAGAGTCAAGAGTTTCCGCTGGGATCTGAGATCGAAAACCTCGCCGTCAGGCCGTCGGGTTCCATTCTGGCAGTCGTTTACACATTCCCACGCGTCTACGAAGTGGCTCCTGTCGCGAATGCTGAGCCAAAGCTTGTGCACACTTTCGAGAATACCAATGGCGTTTCCAGTATTGCCAAATCACCAAACTCGGATGAATACTTCCTCATTACCGGCAACTTCTCTTTCCAGACTTTGAGTCCAACCCCTGGCTCGTACGCGATCCACAAATTGTCATTTGACAAGTGCGACAAGTCGGTCGTCAAGCTACTGGCATCGCTGGATGCTATTTCTCAGCCCAATGGGATGATTGCGGTTCCTGGAACGCCCTACGTTCTGATCGCAGATACGCGCGAGGGATTCATCTACCGTTTCGACACCCAAACCTTTCAATTGGGCGTCTACTACGATGATCCCTTACTAAAGCCTGGTACTACAAGCGGCGTGGTATTCGGCGTCAACGGCATCAAGCTCTCAAGAGGATACCTCTATTTCAGCAACACCAACCAACAGTTGGTCGCCCGTGTGAAAGCTTCAGGGAACGAAGATGTCCTCCATGGAACCCCGGAAATCGTGGCAACCCAGACTCCAATTGACGATTTGATTGTCAATAAGTACAATGGCGACATTTATCTCGCCGAACTTAGCGGAAACGCTCTTGGCTTTGTGCCACGTGGGGCAAACACCACCGTCCCGGAGACTCTTCTCGGCGGCATTAACAGCACAGCTATTTTGGCGCCTACATCAGTCGTTTGGGCAAAGGGTGCGGAAGGCCGAACGCTCATCGTCTCGGAGACTGGCGGTTTTGAGCAATTTGTGACACACAATTACACAGGTGGTGGCAGGATCAACATAATTCACTTGGAGTAATACCCTCAAGTGCCGTAGCTCAAGATGATTTGAGGAAATCGCAACCTCATTAAAGACTATGATTTGCGAATTGTTGCAAGGACCTGGACAATCTGGGATTCTTAATGCTCTGGGTTCATGCGGCGTGTGCGTCAATACTAATTTCTTTACTTTCTCCAAGTTTCCACAAGTAGCATCCTACTAGCATGATGAATTTGATCAATACGCAATATGTTTGTTCGCACTCATAATCATGAATACTAAAGTTATCGATTGTGGGGGCCCCGCGATTTCTCATAGATTGGTGCCAAGCATCGAGTTGTGCCCTTCTCATTGACCATCCTCGCCTGCATCCCTCGAATGCCGGTGGGAGAGTTCAGTGAGAACACAGAGAACTGTAGATGATGCTGCCAAGAAACATGTGATGCTTATTCTGCTGGTCCGAGGCATCCATACGAATAGACGACATTGCCAACTTTTTTCTGGCTCATTGTCTTGTGAGGCACAATACCACTTACTTTCCACGCAACTGTTTTGGCAACTGACTTAAGATACAGCAACCCCATTCACCATCGCAAGTGATGCGGCCCACATCATTGACGGTTTCCGTGTACAACTCCAAAGTGTGCGACGGACTCTCGGACGTTAAAACGTCGTCCACAGAGTGTTTGAAGACTGGTGATACACAGTCGCAAAGATGAATCTTTCAGAAAACTTACAGTTCAGCCCGTACAAATTGACCGACTTCTTGGCAATCCTATTGAAGATGAGTGTTGATTTATATCCAAGAGTAAGAAAGTGGCTGTTCAAGAAGCGCCGGTGGGATGAAGCCTTGGTGCAGCATCCGGCTGTTGTATCATTGGTGTGCATCAGTCAAAGCTTCAGTTCGTCTCTTGTTCCCCCTTGAGATCGAAAGTGCCAAGAGCATCCTTTCTCGAACCTTATCCGCAACCCCTGCCAAGGATTCAATCTACTCGCCGGCAAACGGCTTATTCCAACTCTACACGTGGGCTAGCGCGAATTTCCTTTTCCAAGGTAAAATCGATTTAACCACCAGCCATTTAGATTAATAGGTGGAATTTGCGCAGCACATTCAGGGATATCCCAACCCCGCACGGAAAACGATGCGGTACCCAGCTCGGTGATGTACAAGGGTTGCATTTCCGACCATGGCTTCGGAGGAGCTTTTAAAGACACTGAATCGCCGGCGGTATGGTAGTTGCTAGCATCGGTCTGTATCGGTCTTTATCGCTAACTGACTTATCCGCAATGTTGGGGTTCGACAAGTTCTCTGCCGCCTGGCTCATGGCCATTATGTCCGTCAAGCCAGTGACATCGACCCTCCTATACGCCGCTTCGCACGCCGGAACCGTCACCACTCTCGATCTTCAGACTTCGGAATCTGGAACGACTTTGAAGGCCATTGCCACGAACACTGATTGCGCGGCGAACCCCTCTTGGCTCACTCTCGATCAGTCAAAGTCCCTGCTCTACTGCGCCGATCGAGGACTTACAAACCCCAACGGCACGCTCGTCTCTTTCCAAAAGTCTGAGAATGGGACACTCGAGTTGCTTGGAAAGCTCCCTACTATCAAGGGGGCTGTGAGCTCCGTCGTCTATGGCAAGAATGGTGGAGGCATTGCCTTGGCTTCTTAGTAAGTCCCACTCACTGGCCCCGGACAGATTTCCACTTTCGTCACCGAAGAAGCTTGGTTTGGGGGGAATTTGCAGAAATCGCTACGCAAGTTCACGCGGAACTCCGCTGACAAAATTGACAGTCCGGCGTCGTCCTTTGAAGTCTTTTCCGTGGAGGACCCGACCGACATCAAAAGACTTCAGTCTTGGACGTACACGCTGAGCCAGCCAGGACCGAAGCCGGCACAGAATGCCCCGCATCCCCACGAGGCCATCCTTGACCCCACGGGGCAGTACGTGCTAGTGCCGGATTTGGGAGCGGATTTGGTTCGGGTTTTTGCAATCAACCAGGAATCCTACCAACTGACGCCGGTTACCCCGCTGAACGTTGCAGTTGGCAGTGGTCCCAGACACGCCAGATTCCTCGTCACCAAGGAAAAGACTTACTTCTTTGTTCTAGCCGAGCTTGGGAACATTGTCACCACGTACGAAGTTCACTATGGTCGCAACAAGACCTTGAGCTTTACAGAAGTCTTCAGCGTCGGTACCCACGGCCCCGACAACACGGTACCTGTTGGGGCTGCCGCAGCTGAGATCCACATCTCGGTAAGTACTTTAGTCAAGCTGATTCCTTGACGAGGAAGATTCGCCACGAGACGTGTTATGTTGCTAACATTTCGTCAGCCTGACTCCGAGTATCTCATTGTCTCTTCACGAAACGTTAGCATCTTCAGCATTCCCAACTTTGACACCACCAACAGCACCGAGATCAAGAGCGACGCCCTTGTTACTTTCAAGATCGATCACAAGACCGGTCACCTGGGTTTCACGCAGATCTTCCCGTCAGGCGGCATGATTCCCCGCCAGTTCTCGATCAATAAAGCTGGCACTCAAGTTGCTGTGGGTTTGCAGCAGGACGGACGGGCGGTCATTATTGATCGCGAAGTGAGCACCGGTCTTCTGAAGGGGTTCGCCGCGAACATTTCTATTGCGGGCGAAGTTGTTTGCGTTATCTTTGATGAGTGATCTTGCAAGCTACTCGGCCAATAGAACCATCATATCGAGAACTCACAGTCACGGAGAGCGACAAGCCCCTAGAGTGGTCACTTTCCCTCTATCTGCATCCTTTCTTTTTCCTGTTTCCAATGTCCTGCATCAAACTTCCAGACCCAAACCTCCTGCTTCTCGTCATAACTTGCTTTCTGCCAGCCCTCGAACTTGGCAAGACCTGCCGCTCGCATGAGAGCTCGCCATGGTTCATTGTCATCGCCCGTCTCTGAAAACTTGACATCCAAGCTCGTTTTTGGCGTACTCGATGAGGACGCTGATCAACTCCAGGCCATAGCCCTTGCGCCAGTGTTTGTGATCGATTATGATGCCGATGTCCGTCATGTACGCCTTGCTTCCCTGTAGTGTTGTTTGGTCAAGGAACTCGGGCGGGTCGACAGATTCAGAAGTGTTGTACCCTCCATATCCAATCAATTCATCTGTACCGCGCGGTTCAACGACCAAGAATGCATTTTTGCCATCCGCTGACATTTTGGCAAATTTTTGTATCCGAGCCGGAAGCTTCTCGAAAGTAAGACCTTCCTCAGGTTCCCCAAATGGGAAACTTTCTGGGACTGTCATGATGGCGTGAAAAGATTCAATGTCGAATTTTTGTGGCAGTCCTAACTACGAGTCGCGGCGACAACCGACAAAAATGAGACGAGGCCATCGCGGCGGATAGACGGTGATTCTATGATGGTCTGCGTTTGAAGTTACAACTTTGCTAATGAAGTTACGGGCCATCAGCTATACAATAAGGTCTGCGCAGAAGACCTCGACTTAAATAAGAAATATTTCTACACATGTTGACTTTTTCCAGTCATCATGTTTGCGTCTGAGGATCCGCTACGCCGCGTCTCATGTGGGTTCTAAGGCCGAAGGATGAGAGTTTGTTGACCTTCCCGATATGGATACAGCTCTTGACGCGCCCAGGACCAACAACTGGACGGGCAGTCAGTCACACTTGATGTGAGTCACTGATGAACGACAGGAAGACATTCCGAATCAGATTAATTCTGACTTTCAGCCTGTCTTTCTCGGCAATCAACAATTGATAGTTAAGCAATTGTCGGGAATTTTCACCTTTTTGTAGTTGGGATGTAGCACTCAAGGTACCTATGTCAAGTGACTGTATTGTCAAGCATCTCAGTTCAGCATGGCCTTTTTCAAGTCGGCGCCAGTAGTGAAGCGTCTCATAGTATGAGTGCAATTAGATGCTTGAAGTGCGAACCGTTCTCTGGGTGTCGATGTGGCGGGACTTGGCGAAACCCGGACGTCGGAGACGGAATCCGGGCCAAGGGTGCTCGTCAACAGCAGCCCCAAACTCCGCATCTCTTCCCAATCAACTCCAAGTCCGGGGAAACGGCAAGCTTATATGCTGGGGATGTAGCTTAAACAGCTCATCAAAAGTGCTTGATTGCAACCTCGGCGTTTCGTCCCAGCTTCAGCACAGTGGTTGCCCCCGATGACCCCCTGCAAATGGTTCTCGGATGGACGCACGACCGATGCAACCCGCAAAGCCAAGCGCGCACGATCGACAGGCAACATCAGTACCCGGAAACACGGAAAGGGGAAGTGAGACAGAGCCTCGTGGCTATGTCGTCAGCCGCTGTCAATATTCTGCGCTTTCCCTTCGCCTTTTCATGATCTTTCCTCTTTGAGGCTGTCCGGGAGTGAATGGACAACGAAAGCAGCGGGCAGCTGTGCGAGTCAGCGAAAGGTGGTTCTGCCCGTTCTTAATGAATTGGTGGGGTTCCTCGGACCGCTTGACCACTTATGAATGGATGCTATTCGACATTCAAAGTACCTTGCACGTTGCGAGTCGTGATGGTGGGACTCGCTCGAGGAGGATCGCCCTGTCAGAGATTGGATGATCAATATCCTACCCTTCCCGTGCTCCTAGCTCATAAAGATGGTTGGGAAGCTCCTTTCTCTGCCGTCTCTCTTTCATCTGGCGTTCGGTATTCACGCAAGCCAAAAATACCCCTAAGCTACACGATGTCGTCATGGATTAAGTCACATCAGTACGCGCGAGTTGACCAAGCCATTGATAATGGCGAGAGCGTCCAACATAGAGAATCGCGGCTGAGGGAGTACTGGCAGAAGGTCAGAGTCCACCTTTTTTACGCGATACTCCTCGTCTTAGTGGCGGGGCTCAGCAGACATACTGCGCCTAGCAAAGCTACGCCAGATTATTACGGCGTTGAGCCTGTTAAGTCTGAGATGCGATGTAAGAGACCACCCGGCGTCCACATGCACGTTCCTTTCTCACAACTCTAATCCCGCACAGTATCAACCATAAGCAGAACTTTTGAGTTAGATCTCAATTATGCTATGCCACCATCCGCACAAGTCGATGAAGCTTGGGCCTCGCTTCTTCCTAAGGAGGGTGGCTTCTTTCAACACTCCAAGCTTGCGCCGCAAAAAAGCTGCATAGCGGTGTTCCACCAACTTCACTGTCTCGACATGATCCGTCAAGCACTATATGAGGCGCGGCCTGACATCATGGAGCAAGTCAACAATGGGTCGCACCCTGCAGATCACAAGGCAGACCATAACACAGGCCACGACACTTCTCCCGATCATAATCACGTCAAAGATATGTATCATATAGGACACTGTTTGGACCTTGTCCGCCAGTCCATTCTTTGCAGACCTGACCTGACTGTGGAGGTTGGCGACCCTGCGGTGGGCGGTGTAACGGGGTTTGGTACTGAACATCAGTGCGTGAACTGGCAGGAATTGATGGACTGGATGAAGGACCACGAATGAGGCATGGGATGCATAAACGACGACATGCGCTAGCCATGATCAAATAAGACAGATACAAATGTAATATGAGCCTTTATCGTGAGCTCTGCTCGGTCCAGCGGAGAGCAAGCGAGCGTGCAATTCCCAAACCGAGAATCGCGCTACGATGTGGAACAAACAGAGACGGGATAAATGGAATTTCGAAATAATAGATGTTGGCAAAATAATCTACCGCCATACAGCAAGAAGACATGAACTCTTCTACGAAGCTCATCATAAACAATAAAAACTGGGAGAAGGATGCAGAAGGTTGCCCAATTTGGTAATCAAATTTTGGAAGAAAAGCCATCAAAATGAGACTATTACCGATGCACATGACAACGTTCAGGCTGGAAATAAACTTGCTCTCTAAGGCAAGAATGGCAGCGGTGATTAACATGCTCACTTGTCGAAATCAAATCACCAAAGCACATTCCTGATTGAGCCATAGCGCTGCTCAGCAAGCTTTACAGCGACATGATCTTCAGTTTTCCCGGAAATTACGGGCCGCCGGAAACCGGCACCCTAAGTACCTCAATCCGCACATACCAAGAAAGTCGAAGCCAAGCTGCCGTAATCGGTTGCGTCGGAAAGTTGAACAATGCACCACATCCGATCGTTCTTGGCAAGCGGGATGGAATGTTCATCCCATATTCATCAAGCTTAAATCATCTTCAGTCGACGTTCGTCGTCCAAACCCCATGCACGGGTGGTCAAGTCAGTTTCGGATCTCAGAGGGTGTCCCTAGATCGGCCCCAATGGATCGCCCAACGGAAAGTTCGACTCGGCTCGTATAGACGGTTAAAGTTTTATTAATCATGCCCGTCCTCGGTCCTTCAAAATATCGCACTCTCACCGGATGATCCGGATGTAGGGTTGTTTGGAGTTTCCGTTTGTCTTGCGATTGAGATGCTAGAGTGGTTCCACGGGATAACCTACCGATGAGGGTAATTGAGGAAGGTTTCCTAGCCCAATTCCTCTTGGAAAGCTTAGCATTCAGGGGCATATCGACGATAGATTAGGGTTGATTGCGTTTGAGTTTCAGCGAGAAGAGTCGCCTATGATTCATCCGTGCGTACCGTGCCAGCAATCGATTCCTTATCTAACATGGTAAGACAGTCATCGGCTCGGATTACGAGAAGCTTAGCTTGCGGAAGCCAAACGTTATCCTAGTAGCTAAGCTTCTTGCTGTGCATTGGGCAAACTGAAATATATGGTTTGAGGAACCTTTGGTAGCCGATGTTGCAGTGCTGTCGGTAGCTCATCGTCCAAAGCCATTGGCCCGTGTCAATGCCAATCTGAGGTGTTTATCAAGATCGGTTCAACCCCCCTCTGAAAGAGGTTCTGGTCAACCTCATTCAGCCCACCAACTTTGTGTCACCATGGTTTCCGCGATGTCCATCCGTCACCTGTTGCTGGCATTGTTGCCTTGCACCACCGTCTTGGCCGATTCTTGGCGAGTCGATGGCTTCAACCCGGTCAAGAAACTTGCGGAGGCTAAGCGGTTGCCTGTACGCCGCCATCTTGAGCGTCGTCAAAACACCGAGAAGTACCAATACCTGAATGATAAGACTGAGAGTATGCCCACCCAACCTCGACTTCCCCCTTCCGTAGGCTGATATTACAAAGAGTACCTTGTGAATGGCACGTCTATTCCACTGGTTGACTGGGATCTGGGCGAATCATATGCTGGCCAAATCCCGATCTCGAAAGCATCCAACGAGACTCGTCAACTCTTCTTCTGGTAAGTATATATACCTGTCTAAGTCGCCATCTATCTTACAATATTAACACTCATTCCAACAGGTACTTCCCTAGCACCAATCCAGATGCATCTGAGGAGGTCACCATTTGGTGAGTTTCCTCGAACCCCAGGAGACATTTCCTTGGACCTAGTCGCATAATGACTCCTCTGCAAGGTTGAATGGAGGCCCGGGATGCAGTTCTTTCATCGGACTGGTCCAGGAGAACGGACCTTTCACCTGGTTCCCTTCAGCTTACCGTCCGGTTTACAACATTTTCAGCTGGTCCCAGCTCTCAAATGTGCTCTACGTCGACCAGCCCGCTGGCACTGGCTTCTCAGTCGGTAAACCTGGAGTCAATACGGAGGAGGAGACCGCCCAGCAGTTCCTCGGCTTCTACCACAACTGGATGGAGACCTTCGGAACCAAGGGCCGCAAGACTCATCTCACTGGCGAAAGCTATGCTGGCCACTACATCCCCTACATTGGTGACGCCATGATCAAGTCCAACCAGTCTGCCGACTACAACCTCTCCGGTGCCCTGATGTTTAGCCCGTACATCAGATCTGATCCTGGTGACTTCCAACAGCATGCGGTTTCCTTGCCCTTCGTCGAGGAGTACAACAATGTCATGGGCCTGTATCCTGGCGTTGGCAACTATTACGACCGGATCAGTGCTGCCGACAAAGAATGCGGCTACGCCGATATGCGCGAGAAATACTTCACCTTCCCTCCGAAGGGTCCTTTCCCACCCGGAAACAACAGCGATGACTGCGCAATCTCGTCTATTGTCTACGAAGGTCTCGCGGAAGTTAGCCCTTGTGCTAATATCTACCACATCTCTCAGGGCTGCCCCAATCCATCGGATCCCCTCAGTTGGGCCGCCGAGGGTGACAACGCCTCTGTACCCCTCAGCTTTGACAAGGCAGACTGGCACTCCTACCTCAACCTTCCGGAGATGCGCAAGGCCATCCACATTCCCACCGGGCAGAGAGACTGGAAGAAGTGCTCCGATGAGAACCCGTTTGGTCCTACTGGCGATGTCAGTCT